TCTTACAGTGGCGACCAGCTCGAACATGTAGAGATGTACAGCAAACTCGTTACGACTTTCACAGTTGGTTATACAAACAGCAACTGGCCAATCTAAACAATAAAGCCAGCATCGCCTGCGGGCTAGCGCAGTCTGCTGTCCTCACCTTCCCGCGCGGGATATCAAGGAGCTTCGACCCATCACAGGCAGCGGCGAGACTCGCAATGACGGTCGGGGCACCTGTTGCTTGTTTTCAGTAAAATAAAGTTGTTTGCGTTTATTTGCGTTGACTTGATTTTGAAGTTCGCCACACGAAATACGTATCATGACAACATAACGACATTTTTTAAAAGCGTTTCAGTGTTGCTTTGCGCACCAGGAAAAAGTACTGGTTTGATGTTATCGAGATTTCGCACAATTATTAGATACAATAGTCCAACAACATGTTCATCATTTTCATCCAGTTTCATGAGTTTTCAGCAAAAGTTATGACACTATGTCTTAGAAAGTACGCTGGGCCTTCGAGATTGAAATAGGAAAGCTGATGAAATGAACGAAGGGAGAGTATGCTAGGTTCTCGCCAAATGATTCCCCAAATAACCGTGGCCCGTAGAGCTTATTGAAGCACCGCCGCTGTATGAGAAGCATACCTCACGTTTCTTGCAGCGCTACTTCTATGTATTGTTACATACCTGCGTTGTTTTACAAGATTTGTGAAAACTTCAGTATCGATGTAATGTCATAGGAATTGCTCAACGGACGCTAGAGATTTCTTGACACTTCAGCTAGCTACAACAACGCCAAGTGAGCGTCTTGGTATTATGCGACTGAAGGAGAATAGCCAACATGTAAGGGGTCTGTTGAAACAACCAGTGCAGTTTCAGACCCCGTATGGGTTGTCTGCGGCCGTTCGTATCATATGGGCAACCATGGGCCTGTACCACTTTGTGTCATTAATGAAATATCTGTAGCTCCTCGCAGTACGGTCGTAGAGTTCAGCCCCTACTAAGCCATTGTCACAGCTGCTGAGGAGAGTAAGTGATGGCATTACGTTTTCTAATGTTTTTTTCAGCGGATTGCCACCTGATTACACGACATAGAAACTATTCTGTAGTCGTTCGGCAGAATAGCAAGTATGCTTTTGTGTTTGGTTTTCACAAAACAATATTCATTCTAGTATGAAAAAAGAAACTATGCTTCCCGCGTTACTTTCTGTCCAAATTTTTATTGTTGGCTCAGAGCACCCCTCATACTGTCACCATTCCTCTTCTCCTCCTAAGTGTCTAAGTTAGGGTCAGAAGCGACAATTAAAACCTCAACGGGCTCTCACATACACACATCGGCATCTGACGCAGCCTCGTACGTTTCAAATAAGCGAAAAAAAAGGCAATCTTTTAAAGAAAATAGCTGGTTCAACCTCTCAGACACCGCATAACAACAGGTACGTGCGTGCTCTCACGAAGTCCCTTCTTACTATAAAAAGTGCACCCAGACTTGATTACACATCCGAGCAAAACTATGCACTCTATACACTTCTGGCACTGTGCACGGATTATTTTGTTCTTGTTGAAGCATAATCAATTCATTTTTTACAGTATAAATTCTAAAACCTGAAACAAATTCAGGAAATGGAGTACTCATCATGTGCTGCGTATGATGGCCTCTCGTCTGCCTTAAGTTTAACGACGTATAGAACAACAACAACAACAAAAAGAAACAACAAGACAGAGTCATTATGCCGAATTAGCAATACTTAGCTGCAACACTTGGCGTCCAAAATTCTAATGAACAAAATCAGAATATAGTGCTATGTATTTTGCATTTCCAATTAAGGAACTGAACTTTGCAAAGTTCACTGGGTGCTATGAGCAGAGCCTAATTGTGAGTTAAGCATTATTGGACATGGTTCACTCAATTAAGTGGGGTTGGGCGTTAGGTTTCTTCTGTCATGAGTCAAGAGAAGGGGAATCAATTCCACAGCAATCACAACTCGGGTGACACGCAGTTGTCCACTGCAGCCACCGCCGGTGTCCATAAGCACATCGCGCGAAGTTAGAAAAAAAAAAAAACTTAGCACTAATGACACATAGGGGCTCGAACCCGGGTCCACGTGGTGCCAGGCCAGTATTCTAACACTGAGCTACGCTGGTGCTTGTGACACGTTGGCAAACTTGCCTTAGGCAGGATAGATGTCGGGCAACCAATCGCGTTATTACTACTATAAAGCCTTCTAAAACAGCGAAAGAACAACCAGTCGTCGCACAATGCGAATAGCATAACGATTGGGCGGTCCAATGCTCCAACTCATAACAAAAGCTTGTTTATGTTCCTATATAACTGTGTCACATACCCACTTCAGCAATAATTCTTCATCGTTGTCAGCCACTGCGTGAAAATTGGCACCAAATTCCTTGCAAGTGTTTAGCGGATACCACGCTTCTCAGTAGGATGACGAAAAAAAGCATAGAGAATGCCAGCCTACTATTCAAAAATTATTATTATTGCCCTAGCGGGTATCAAACAAGTGACCAAATTTGATTGATATGTGGAGTTCAACGTCCCAACACCACCATATGATCACGAGAAATGCCGTAGTGGTAGGCTCCAGATATTTCGACCACCTGGGGTTATTTAAGGTGCACTCAATTATGAGCACAGGGCCTACATTATCTCCGCCTCCATCGGAAATGCAGCCGCCGCAGCCGGGATTCAATCCCGCGACCTGCGGGGCAGCAGCAGTGTACCTTAGTCACTAGACCACCGCAGCGGGGCATCAAAGAGGTGTGCTTGGAGTAGTTACCCAATGAGTGTTTTGAAAAGGCTCTGAAAGGGCACTCTTCTAGCTTTCGCTGTGACTGTGCGGCTCCTTCCCTACAGGCCTGGTGGTTTTCTCGGTGACTTTAGGAATGTATTGTGAATTCCAGCCCGCAAGCTGCGCTGAAATGTTTGGCTCCACTGTTCTCGAGAAGCTCTAGCACTGCTCAGCAACGTCTTTCAACCATGCTGAAAAATTGTTTCGGGGATTATTTAAGAATTAGCGAAGTATTATAGGTCACTTTCAGCTCAACACGAGCAGATGCATCAACGATAGTAATTTTATTAACCTAATAGTTTCTAGGTGAGGCGAAAACTTAATGCCAACTAAAGTTGAAGTTTATTTTAGCATGCTGATGATTGGAGATTCGAGAATCACTAAAAATTAAAAATAATAACGATTACTAACTTCCTAAGCTGCAACCTGTGCAGTACCTTTTCCTTCTGGGGGAGGCGAAAGAAGGACCGATTTGTTACCCTTGAAAGTGTTAAATTCTGGCGATGTAGTCTTCTTGTATAGTCTTCGAAAGCAATACTTCAAACGTACTCAACATGGGCTACCACACAAACAGTTTATATTAGTCATAGCTGCAAAACAGAGCTGGTTTTGTTTTCACAAACTGTCTTTGCTGAAGGGCATGATCTTGGTGACACTCGCCCTCTTAAGGCGTACAAATTCAATATAGGCTGTTCAGTTTCAACCGTCTTCTTGTTATGGTTCACTCCAAGTCTGCAAGCGCAAGTGACCAAAAAGTTGTCAAGGTACAGTGCAATTCCTTTGCTGTTTAATATGTAGCAAGTGGTGAGTGCATACGAACACGTTCACCAACATAACTGCCCTCTGTAACGTCATTCTTTATAAATAGAGGGATCAACAGCTTTACTAGTACACTATGCGAAGCGTAAAACGAAGATGTGGATTACTTTGCGTATTTCACATCTCAGCAACTCTACACATGCGCAGACTGCACGCTTGAAATAGAACTGGCTCTCGGGTTGTAATTCTTCATCGTTCGCTCTGCGCTGCTTTCATGTACAACACACAAGAAGTCTCTACAAGCTGTGTTCGTACTATTCTTAAAAGCGAACATAACAAAGAACGAATCCATCAAGCTCAACGAGTTGCTACTCGAAAACGTTGAACAATACTGAAAATACAGTGTACCAACAGATAATAAGAAAACCCGCCAAAAATCTGGAACAACAGATCTGATAATGACACGGCACTCCGGTCATCCTCACGTTTTTTTTTTCTATTCCTTAGCAGAGAGAAAAAAATGTGTATGCTATTCGGGAGATGAGTGCGGTATAAGCACCAGTACGAAAAAATTGTGTTTCACCACTGGACTAAGTTCAAGGTTCTACATTAAAAATGCTAAATAAAGCGCTTTAAACTGAATGATTTAACGACGAGTTCAGTATGATTTCTTGATGAAATAAATAAGCTTTGTAAGTTGCTTCAATATTTATTACACATGCATCATCATATTGCCCTAAAAAGCAGGATATTTGGTGCGTTGATACAAGCTACTTAATGACTGGCTCTCGATGCCAGCTACACAAAAAAATAAGCTTCATTTAATCCTATACAGAGAAGTCTTATTACAGATATAAATGCACATTTTAAATAAGCAAGACAGTTTAGTCATACTGAAGGCTTGTGGCAACTCTAATGACTGAACCTGCTTAACAACATAATAAATTGGCCCACCGAGTCCTTGTTAGTCCTTGTGGCGGCAGCACGTTGCGAGAGGCGGCATTGGTTGCATTTACCGGATATAGAACAAAGGATATGCCAATTAGGTGCAAGAGATTCCGCTTAAGGCGAGCGCGAAGAAAACAAGCTGCTTTTGCAATGATTGAGGCTAGTCTTCCGACTGTGTTTGTGAGGCACTGCAATCGCCAAGTGCAGCTGCTTCCACAACACCGCCGTTAACAAGCTATTCCAAAAGTTACCACAGGCAACGGAAGCAGCGTGAGCTCCATGAAGCTTGAAAAGGATGCAAGGCGAGACGGATTGGTTAATGTTCATATTTGAAGCAGCGCAATTTACGCAAGCAGAATACCATTACGTCAAGATTGTAAGCGAGATCAAGGCTTGAGTGGAAGCTGTGTACGAGAGGGTAACTGATCAGACGCAGACAGGGTTAGCCTATGCTTTATAAAGCCATTCCATCCAGGCCACATCCAGTAATACTTGTGCTGGCTGTAGAAGCGGCATCGTCGTAAATAAACCACTCGCAGGACCATACGCCGTATAAGGAGAGACACGCTTCAAGAACCGGTGTATCGACAAAGTGAGTAATTCTACTTCTGCTTGTTCATCGACCTTTGAAAGATAATTACATGGTTGAATTCTGTCGGTAAGTAATACGTTCGCAAATGGGATCAATTTAGTATGTTGTCTTCAGCTACGCTACTCAGTGTAACGTTAAGAGAAATAGATATAGTGATGGTTTATTGTATTTTTTTTTCATCCCAAAACAAAAGTGTTGTGAACGCGTTCTCTTTGTGTGATATTTTCTTATTTGACTGAGAAGGATTCAATCAGGAAGTTACATCGGTCGAATGAAGTCGGAGAGGTGATTATCCGCACGCACGCACACAGGCAGACACGCTGGAGCTGAAATACCGTTATGCACGAGCAGGAAGGTGCCCCGCCGTTGTTGACTCGTACTATTACGCTACGGAGACCTGTTCGAGAGAGTAAGAACTCACGAAATGAACGTTATGTGTATAATGCATGTATTGTTACATTGAGAAAATAATATAGGCAATATCAAAATACAGTCTATTCCCGAACTATACGTTTTTTTATAATCTCTGAAAGTTTTTACAGGTATCTGCGTCAATATGGGTTTCATAACAGTGCTTGGTGTACTTGCCTTGCTGTCTTCAACGAGAGCCGCAATGTTTCCCAAGACTGGTAAGTTTTCAACTAGATTTCTTAGCAAAATTAAATCCACCTCGTTAAGAAAATTTCGGTGCTAACGTCTTTAGTTGCTATGCTATAATGGCCACACCGTTGAGGAAAGCCGTGGATACGTAGCACGCCGCTTTAGAGTGCCAGTGGCAAGAAAGGCATATGAATAATTCATGTTAATGGGCTAAAATCAGTGAAAAGATTGGGCCAAACATGCTCAGTGCACACTCTAAGGCAGCAATAATGTTCAGTATTTGGAAGCTGAAAATATCAGTCGGTGATTTGTTTACAGTTCATACGAGTCGATACCGGATGCCTCGTAAGATTTCATGGGGAGTGTACGTAAATTTGTTTGTTTGTTATCCGTGCGGCATGTATGATTTTGTTTGGTTGGACAGACATGTTTCCAGCACATTCTATATGTGTGACCAAGTGCGTCTGCATGGTATGATGCTGATGATCCGGCCATTCGCAACTCCGGTAAACGCTCCGTGTGATGGCAGTACTGGTAGAAATAAAAAACAAAAACAAAGATGGCTGCCCCTAACAGGGTCAGCAGGACACTTTCATTACGTTTCGCTTGGCGCTGTGCTGACGTTTCTTAATTGGGGCGTCGGATCGCGTTGCTTCGTCGGAGGCGAAAAAGTGCTAAATGTGCTGGCCGCGGACTGCCTCGTTGTCATCAGCATAAAGCATTTCACTGGTGAAACAGGGCAAACGTCAAGCCTCTTCGGCGGATGGCATTTAGACCACCTAGAATTCTTTCACGTTCATCAAAATTTAGGTGTACTAATATCGAGAATTTCCACAATTATTAAAAATGCGGCCGCATTTGATCGCGTGACCGGTCGATCAGCAGTGGAGTGCACTAACCGTTAGTCCACAATGGTGTCTTAAATGTAGCCGAAGAAACACTAATACCGCCTAGCCTTTTGTTCACGTGCATTCGCTTTTTTAGATCAAGCATTAGTCAGTATCGTATCGAGTCATGACTGATGACGTTGCCAATGAAATGTGTTGCTCAAAAGAGAACGTCTTAAAGTACTTAAGCGAAACAAATTGCTTCGCTGTTCTTTCATCTTCGCATAGTAGACAGGATCAGAATTTAAGTGGTATTACATAGCTGGGTATATCCTGGGACTGTCATGCGCTTTTCAAATTGTGTTAGGCCCACTGTCTTAATGTTTGGGTCACTGCGGGATGTTTTGTGTTGGGTGTTGTTGTTTTAAAATATGCTTGATGGTTGTTGATGCGCGGATGAAAGTTCCTAAAAGTTATTTCACAAACAAGACTCCAGTATCTTGAACCGTATGGAGAAAGAAAGCCCTATTTTTTTTCATTGAACATGCTTGTTAAAATAAAAGCAAGTAGAGGTGATGGGATTGATAAGCAAGTGTTGAGTTTGTCTTGTGTCTTCAAATGGAACCTTCAAGTGTCTTCATTAGTTTTGGAAAATTGTAGGCAGAAGCAAAATCCTCAATCCCGAAGAAGTTGGCCTACTTGACTGTTAACTTAGTAGCTTATTTTGAGTTAGCCCTTTTACAACAGATTTTGCAGTCTACATTACACTTCATACATACATACATACATACATACATACATACATACATACATACATACATACATACATACATACATACATACATACATACATACATACATACATACATACATACATACATACTTACATACATACATACATACATACATATGCAGTCACGTGTTTCCTTCGTCAAGCGACTACAAATTACTCATCCATATGTAGCTGCTACAGAACTTTTAAATATTTCCGTATTTGGAGAAGTGTCTGAAACGATGTATGTGCATACCCACATGTGATTAAGATAAGCGCCAATGCGAAATGAGAATAATTGAAAAATGCGCGTTAGGTAGGACCGCTTTCTTGGTATCACATGATTGAAGGATAGCATGCTTCGATATCTATGGTATAATTTTTTGTATTCTCATTCAGATTCGAAATTTAAATTATGAAGAACACTCAATAGGTCTAAATGGGAATATGCTTGCAGTGTATAAGGTCCATTAAGCTCCTCATTACCTACAGTTTTTTTAGTGCGCTCATACCCGTGGGGCCCATTTTGGGCTTTCTCATTACTACCACTTCGCCAGAGTTTTATCAGCGAAAGCTACTTCAAGGCGAACAAAACCTAAGTCACCCCCGCAGTATTTTCGCTGAAACCTTTTTCCTAAAATTTTTACTCAATGGCAGCCTTTAGAAATTTTCTTTTTTTTTCACCCTCATTACGTATATCTTTGGTGTGATCGTAATCATTCAGTTGGAATTCCGCTGTGCCAGAATACTACCTCTGATTGTTTTTTTTTTTTCACTTGGGGGCAGTGCATAGAAACACGTTCCTCCCTCCACTGCTGTAATCGAAGTACCTACCACCTTTAAAGTTGCTATTCAATAATTAATATCAGACTCCTCATATGTGAAATGCCCTTTGGATGAAAGCTCGGAATGAAATAGGTAGATACATTAAGAAATGTTTTCCGATTACACTTTTTCCATACAGGTGCTCCATGTGACTTCACGGACGTCACCGTAGACGACGAAGTAGTTTCCAGGCTGATCGCCAGGCTTCCAGAGGGTATGGAGTCAGGCCCGCAGGATTACCGCCCAATTTTCCCTGGCCTCCAAGTCGGTGGGATCACTGTTCACGGTTTAAGCAAGTTGCGCCAGTTTGGGCCCGTCATTCCCTACTGCACCAACGGAAGTCGCATGGTCCAAGTCGAAATCTACAGCGACGGCGAGACGCATTTCCTGGCACCGTGGAAGACTTGCTCGGGCGATAGTGGACACATTAAATTTGATGCATCACTTACGCGGTTTACCTTCCAGTTTCGCGTAACCGAGTCCACAGCTGCTGGCGTCAAGCTGGAATTTGATCGCGCACTTCCGGTTGTTACGCAGGGTGTCCGCATCTTTGTCGACGGGGCTGCGCCTGCGATTAGGGCCACTGTCGAAGTTCTGAGTGCACTTTTGCCAGCTTTCACGGAACATCTGTTTAGCTCACAATTTTCGCAAAATGTCAGCAAGGCATTCCAACTGACGAACCAGTGAAGCGTGCGGAAGAAAAAAAAAGTTGACGATGACAGTAAGTCGAAATGCTTGTTCAACACCAAATCACTGCAACCTCCTGATAATCACACACTTTAAAAAACGGGGCGTAATTTGACTCTTTTTAGCTACTCATATGACACTTACGTGCATACATCTCTTTTAGAGAGAAGCAGTGACACTTTTTAGGTGAGTTGCAGGGTGTAATGGCCTCTTCAAGAAAGCACGGTAACTCTATTCTATTCTAGTTAGCGACTCTTAAGAGATAACGACTCTTTCAGGGGAATAATGTGCCCCATGAATCATTCCAATAAAGGTCTAAATGACTCTACAAAACGTAGTTGTGCGTAGGAGTCACATATGTAGCAAAAAGAATCACAAGACACTTTTTTTCCTTGAGTGCATGTTGCGAAGACATATCCCTGTGGCAAGACAAAGTATAAAGATGCCTTCAATAAATGAGTTTTATAATGTGTTTTCTTTCTCGCTGATGTGATCGCTTGCGTAAAAAGCAAACACCCGAATGAGACGCGGCCACCGTAACAATCGTGCAAGTTGTCAGCATTTGACGCCACGACAAGCATGTGTTGCGAGAATCGCTGCTTTATAAGCTTTTGGTGGATCCTATTACAGAGCAAGTGAATGTGGCGGAAACACCGCTACAGGCCATTTAAGACAGTGCTATGTTTATTATGGCCGCACTCGAAACGTACAATGTTCCTACTGTTATTAGAGAGTACAGCCACCAAGCATTTTGTGTTTGTAAACCTGACAGCTTCAAACTCATAAGTGTACATATGAAGGATTCACGCACTGACGCTTGCAGCGTCTGCAGTTTGTTTCTATCCTCGCCACTGGCTCGAACACTCACATAAGGCCACATTAGCTCTACCAGCCCCAATTCCAGTGGCCTGATAAAGTCACCTTGAGTATTTGCTTATCGCAATAACTATGCTAAATACATAAACGAGGCCATGCTTCAATTCCTGTGCGCTGTACCATTATGAAAATCCGACTCCCTGAAAAAAAAATTACTCCTCCGTTGGAGTAAATTGTCCGGCCTCTAGCAAAATGCCTATTCAGAGCATTCTTTTTTAACTCCAGACCGACGGGTTGGGGTTTTAGGGGCAAAACTCTTATAGCGGCACCCGTTCGTTCCCCGTAGTATGTAACAAGTATAACATTTTGACCTCCAAGGTGGTGCCGGTGAGAGACTTCATCTGTGCGTTGTTGAACAATAAAAAATAGTGCTCAATGTACATGTCAATGGCTGCTAATGGAGAATGAGAGACAGGAGCATTCGGCTTTTAGTTAACGCGCAGGCAGCGATCACCATTAGCAGCCATTGGCATGCATGTACATTGAGCACTATCTGACAAGAAAGGGTTGCCACGTTATACTCACTGTATGTAACCTCCTTAGCTTTAGCTTTAGCTTTAGAAAGGTTTAGCTTTAGCTTAATCCTTAGCTTAGAATCCTTAGCTTTAGAAAGGTTTAGCGAGCGTTGAGCCGCAGTGCCACGAATACAATGAACTTGTATATACCATGAATGAACTCGAGGTGGTTAAAAATGGGAAATAGATACGAAGCGCAAGCCGTAAGAAAGTAAAAGCCGAATTCTCCGCCTCTCAATTCCCATTAGCAGCCATTGGCATGTACATTGAGCCCTATCTGACTGAAAAAGTTTGCTACGTCATACTCGCTCGGCATAACCTCCTTGGTTTTCGAAAGGTTTAACGAGCGTTCGGCCGCAGTGCCATAAATACAGTGAATATACCATGAACTCGAGGTGGTTAAAGGTGGGAAGTGGACCCGAAGTGCAAGCCGTAAGAAAGTGTGCGTGTGCCACCTCTCGTTTAGTTCTTGGAATGTCCGCTGTATGGCGGTGCTTCTATATGGGGAATATATGATGAAAAGATGCGAGATGGTCGTACTTGGAGTGTTGAATAGATGGACGAACGGACACATAGACAGATGCATAGATGGACGCATGAACGGACGCAGGGGCGGCTGCATGGACGAACGCAGGGACGGACGCACGAAAAGACGCATGCACGGACGGGCTGATGAACGCATGGACGGTCACACTGACGGACGCATGGACGGACGCAAGCAAGAACGAATGGACGGACGAATTCTTCGCCCCACTCTCCATCATTTACTCCGTGGATATGCTGCCATTTTTTTTTTACTCCGGCTGGTTGGAAGAATTGGATGGCGCAGCTGGAGTACTTTTGTCAAATATTTCCCTGCGACTGACTGGAGCACTTGCGTAGCGCCACCAAAATACTTTTGACTGGGATTTTCATCCGGCTGGCCAAAGGGTCTGCGTGGCACCTTCGGAGAATTTTTCGCGGGTTTTCAGGCTGGCTATTCGAAGCATTTGTGTGGCACTTCCAGAGTATTTTACGAATGTCCTTACTTTGTCATGCTGATTATGTCACGCATTGGCTAGATGAAAGACATTTCAATTTTTATGCAAGCACTGCTGAGTTACTGTACGTTTTTTCAAGAGTTACAGCAGAAGAAATTCAAAAAATAAACACATGAGTCGTTACTGTTTCATTTGTTCAAAATAAGCTGCCAATGCCTGCTGATGACCAGCACTCGAATGAGGAAGACAAAAAGAAGTAAACCCGGAAAAATTCATCAAAAAAACAAAACTCAAAAAGACAGACCACATGAAATCAGCACTCCAGTTTTAATCACAGCGCTTCTGAAATGAGGCCAGGAATGCTGCAAGACGATGCACGACAAACGAATAAAGCATGGTGAGCGTGGCCGCCGGGAAAAACTGTTCCCCATCGCCGAAGTTACGCTCATCAGATTCAAGGACCACGCAAAGATTCAGCTTAATCCTTCCTCTGAAATTTAGCAAAAATTTTTATACATGGGAACTGCAAATCATGCGATAAGCACAACAAAAATTGGGGACACTGGATCCTTGGATACTCAATAAATTTTATACAGTTTGCGAGTCCATGTTAATAATCACGTCGATAAACTGACCACACACACACACAAAGACAGAATCAGCGTTCAATATCAAGAAGTAGATCTCACGTACTACTCCGGACAGACAGCCACTACATGACAAAAAGAATTGTGCCTGTGTATATAAAAGTTTTATTTGAAAGCTTTCCGGATGAATTATTTGAAGCTTAATTTTATTTAAGTAAAGGTTAGTGTTATTGGGTTTTTTCAGTGCTTACAATGTGGACTGGCTGTCAGTTATTATTTGACACGATCCGTCACTTCTATTTCTTTTAGTGCCTCTAAAATAGCAACCGTTTCTGCTTCAAAATTGTTTAAATAATGAGGGAGTTTAATCTGTTTGTTTCTGATAGCATTATCAGACCTATCCACTACTATAAAGGCTGCTCCACATTTGTGTTCTATTTTGGAACGATCAGTAGAAAGGCTGAAATCTGCCTTGCCAATTGTCCTTGAGTAATCAAATTCTCCTTCTTGTGCTGGATGTATGAGTGCGTTCGAAATTTTGTTAGTGATTTCTTCTTTACCGAATTCCTTCTCTCCGTAGACGAGGTTTTCATTTTCATTGATGATGTTAAATATTTTGTTTTATTTTTCGATGGTTAAATGAACCAGCGGAATGTTACACACCACATTCAGAGATGCATTGGAGACTGTATAGAATGATTTTGCGAGTTTTGCTAAAAGAGTTCTTGGATTGATTTCTGCTTATTGATCTTACCTGTATTCCCCCTTTTACGTGGACATACAGGTGGATATCAGATCGGCGAGCCATAAACTATTATGCGTTCTTTGCCGCCAAAGTAAATTTTTCTACGGTGTTTCGGGGTCATGCCCCACTCTGTACCACTGAAAGCTGCTTGCCACGATATGATCTTTTGCATTTTTTGCTTGACCTCTCTCACGTGGGGTATAAAAGAAAGCTTATTGTCGAATACGACCCCCAAAATTCTTGTGTGCGGAACTGTTTTGATAGAGTGCCCATCGACTTTAACTACTGCTCTATTTTTGTAGGCTGCTCCCAAGTTGAGATCGAAATGCCGTTGAAACACACACACACACACACACACACACACACACACACACACACACACACACACACACACACACACACACAAACACACACACACACACAAAAAAGCGAAGTGTCCTAAAAGTAGCTGTACCATAAACGAGGCATCGCGAAGGTGGGTTTGCAAAAAAATGGGTACCATGATCGTGGGCGCTGCATCACGCGCTTCAGCGGTGCATGAACTGAGGCATTGGACAAGTAGCTCAGGCATTAGACAGGTAGCGTGAACTAAATTAGCCATTCGTCGGTGATTCCTGGTCACCAAAATGCTCCGGCGTCCTTCACAATGTAATGGTTTAGCTTGACGGCTGGTGATTCCAATAAAATGACGAACGCTTAGCCAGAGTACCCTCAGCTTGTCGCACTTATGTTCTGTTGAGGGGCAGATATTAATACGTAGAAAAAAAGGATATCCATTAGATCTGAGTAGTATAGGTACTTCCACCGAGAATGTTCCTGCGGTATTAGTACATGACAGAACATCTTGCTTGGCGAGTTCATGAATGGCTTATAGCGGGATATGATGTGCTATGCTGTGAAAAAGAATAGGCCTAGGTGGAAGTAAATATCTTGCCCTCTTGGGCACCCAATGAGGGGGGCTTATATACTATATGTGGAGTAAAAAAATTATTCCCTCAAGAACGACGTTTTTGCATGGATTTATGGGAGTATCTATTTACATTTACATCCTCCAGTAACTTTTTAAGGTAAGTATGGCAGTAAGCTTTACATTCATTGATAAAAAGAATCGCAACAGCAATGCCAAGTTCAAGCGAATGATCAATTAAATTAGATTTGAAGAGCACGAAGCATAGAGTCATACACACAACGTTCGCATAATATTACAACTCTTTCCCCGACCACAGCTCACCGTTATCTTTGTGTTTAGAAAACTTGGGTAACGATTAAGAGTACTTCGTACTTTACTATGGGAGAGCATATTGTGGTCCCGTGGGACTCTGAGGCCCTGCTTTCATTGTTCGCGAAACTTAGGGGACATTCGGTTTTATAAAGCATGGCACTACCAATTACGGCTCGCCGCTGACGTTCACTTTTTTTTCTTTATTTCCGGTAAACTTCACAAAAGGGTTACTAAGATATATTACAATTCACTACAAACAATACAAAAAACTTAAAAATAACTAAGCCCGTCAAGCATAACTATAACACATCACATCCTAGAATTCCTTCATGGTCAGTAGGGCTTCTACTTTTTCTACCCATAAAGGTACACATTCGTCTGTTCTTACTACCTCAAGTAATCTTGAGAGCCCCGCCGCGGTGGTCTAGTGGCTAAGGTACTCGGCTGCTGACCCGCAGGGCGCGGGTTCAAATCCCGGCTGCGGCGGCTGCATTTCCGATGGAGGCGGAATTGTTGTAGGCCCGTGTACTCAGATTTGGGTGCACGT